AGCACTCCTAGCCTCTGACCTGCTTTTGTAGCCACTGTATTTGTATAGTGAGTCCTGCTGAGTTTCTGGTCAATGGTAACTCCCAGGATGTTGACAGCCGAATTCAGCGACGGTAACATCACAATATCAGGGGGTGGTGGTGAGATGGTCTTTATTGGAGATAGCCATTACCTAGCATTTACGTGACACGGATATTTCTTGCCACTTGTCAACCCAAGCCTGGTTACTGTCCAGATCTTGTTGCATTTGAACATGGACTGCTTCTGTGTGTAAGGAGTTGAGAATAGTACTGTACATTGTACAATCATCAGTTAACATCCCCATTTCTAACCTTACAGTGAAGGGAAGGTCATTGGCAAAGCAACTGAAGATGGTTGGGCTAGTTAACGAGTTAAAGACAATTCTGTGTGGGAACAGAATTTAAGTTAGGAAAGGAAAAAAAGACCACACTGCTGTAAAATTTGCTTCAATTCTCCACTCAGCAACACATTTTGACTATAATTTGTGCAAACAACTTCTGAATTCTATCAGGCCAAGAGTGATAGTTCGTTGAAGTCTATCTGTAACTTATTTTTTCACACATCCGAATGTACAGAAAAGACAATAGAAGTAGTCACAACGCCATAGTTCAAGAACCAACAATGTAGAAGATCTAAAAAGGTCAATAAATAGCAGAACAAGAGATTGCAGGTAAAATCTGTTTGCAGATTCACATTATTACTGCTAGCACATGCATCAGCTCAGAAATACAAATGCAACAAAACTTGTGCCACTAGTACATCTGGTGACAGGCATTTTTATTTCAGATAGTGAAACAAGTGCAGCCAGAAACAGAACAAGAATTAAAAGCATTAATTCTTTTTTCTTAAAAATGCTCTTTCGGTACGTGCAATCTGCCACCTAGATTCATGATGTGGAAGTGCCGGTGATGGACTGAGATGGACAAGGTTAGAAGTCACACAACACCAGGTTATAGTCCAACAGGTTTATCTGAAATCACAAGCTTTCTAAGCACTGTTCCTTTGTCAAGTGTTGCGTATTAAATGGAACCAGTACTTGCAGCGCATGTCGGCAGTTCCATTTTAAGGTTCTTTGTGCCAGGTCTAACATGGGGTCATATGTCTCAATTACTACCATTTCAAAGTAGGCTTTCCCATTCTTACTGACCCTCCAGCTTATACGTCACCACCAGGACCCTACAACCTGAAGGTGCTTTCACTTCGAACCAGATCTTTCTGCATCTTGGTGCATATCTCCTAATGTTCAGGAATCACACATGGAGCTGGAAAAGTCAGCAGCAAGCCGAAAGGTAAGTAGAGAGAGTGAACAGTTTAAGATTTTAATTTATTCTAAAACAGATGCTCACAAATGTATCACTGCTAAATTGCAAACTGATTGAACTTTCAGGGTATTGTATTTGAATACCCTCTTTTCCTCCGATGGGAAAGATCCCAGAGAACCTAACTACAGCTTTAATATTAGTTGTAATGGGAGAATTCAATTAATTTAAACATTATTTAATTTGAAGTTGCACTTTTCAGAAACACATCATCATGAAATGGACTTATTGAATAGCAAATAAAAGGGTACTTCAAATAATAACCGTATTTAAATGAATAACACTCAAACCTTTCTTTCTATTCCCCTTCAAAATGGGAATAAAAGATGTAATCAGTTAAATAGCGCAAGATTTAATTTTACCTTATCAATTGTTAGCATGTAGAAGTTGGCAATGTTGTGCTCCTGGGCAAAGCGGATTCTTGCTCGGCACTCATCTTCATCAATTACCTCTCCCACGTACTCGTTAACAAATGCTCCCTGAACCAAACAAAATGTACAAATTGGACAATGGAAACTCCTGCATCACCAAGCTTGACAGATTTCTTTTTATTCCATTTCTGCTCTCTTACTAAAGCGGTGGATTGGAATCTCAACACAGAAGTTAATCTGATGTTTTACTGCTGCCTGACATAGCAGTTTGTCAGTACCAATGTACTTGACAACTGCATTGTTTCGGGTTCATACTATTTATTCCAACCATCACTTGTGCTTGTACAACATTTTATTAAGCTAACTGAGCATAATTTTAATTGTGCTGTAAAGATCTTCACTGGACAGTTAAACTGCAAAGTGATCATCATCATTCAGGTGTATAATGTTTAGATGCCATGATACAAGGACCACCACATGTGGGAAGCAGTGACGCGAACAGTCTTGCCACTGGACTAGTAATCCATGTCACCATTAATTCAGTTTTCTTCTGCAAAGACCTCAGAGCTCCATTCACAGTGGTGACCTCAAACTAGAAGTCGATGCTGGGAACAACACTGGCATGCTGATTAGCATGTAAGAAACCCCTGGGCAGCCATGCAGCCACACACCTTAGAGGGAATATTTCTATCCATCTAGAGACCCAAGCTAATGATCTGGGAACATGTGACTGAATCCCACCTTGGCAGACATGAATCAATGAAAATCTGGAAGTAAAATTTGGTCGAATAGCAAATATTGCAGTAAAAAACTATTTGGTTCACTAATGTCCTTTTGGGAAGAAAACTGGTCATCCTTATTTGGTTTGGCTTGCATGTGACTCCACACCCACAGCAAGGTGATTGATTCTGAAGTGCCCTGTGAAATGGCCCTAGCAACATAGACAATTCAAGCAGGGATCAGCAATAAATGTTGGCCCAGACAGCAATGCCTACATCCCTTGAACTAATTTTTTTTTTTTAAATGGCAAGTGAATAAATGAATGCCACAAAATAATACTTGGGAAACTTAGTGTAGTCCAGATACTACAGAAGCTTCTTATTATTGTGCTGTTAAGAGAAAATAGCTACCGTAGTTAAAGTTTTCAAACTTGTTGGTTTTTAGTGCTGTTGCTTCCAAACTGGACCATTCCCGTGGAAACTAAATGAAAGCAGTATGTGCCATGAGGGCTGCTTCAATGAATATCACAGATGAATGTGTTTACTATATTCTCACACAATTGAGAAATACAATTTTGCGATGTACTCAGATAATACAAGTCTTCAAAGGAGGCAATTAAACATTGATGACTTCTACAATCACTACACCGAACCCTGGAATTCTCGTTTTAACTTGTACTAACCCTCTTCAGAAGCAGGGTTACACTGCTCCAAGTAGGGTCTAATCCTATAGTTTAGTAAATGGCAGGCTTTCTGAAAGTTGTGAACTCATATAAACCTGAATGAACAAAGCTTCCTCTTTATTAATTTCACGTCAATCTATTCAATTGACTTTTCAGTTTTTAACTGCTCATCATACCTCATCCTTGGCCTTCCTTGCATTTCTGCATACCTACTAGAAGCATTTCCATATCAATTACAGGACAAAAGCTTGGTTTTTAAATGAACGTTTGTTCTATGAGAAGGAGCTTTTCTTGTCCAAGTATATTCTATCTTTGGCAGCATCTATGGAGAGAAAGAGTTAACTTTTCCTAGTTACCATCAGTTCTGGAGAAGGGTCACTGAGTCCGAAAGGTTAACCCTGCTTTTTCTCCACAGATACTGCCAGAGCAGTTGAATTTTTCCAGGAATTTGCATTTCTGATTTTCAGCATCTGTAGTTCTTTGGTTATTTTGCTTTATATTCTTTGATGTTCTATACTGACACTAGCTGCAAACTAATACAGGCTTAGCCTGGATTTGTCCAATACGTACACAACTGAGCCACATACTGAGTCACCTTCAGTTAAATACTTTAATGTACGAAAAGAGTAAAAATGCAAGAGTAACTTACTTTTTTAATGTCAGTCTTTGAAATTAGGCCCCAGCCCTTTCCGGCAGTCTTGACTACCTGTGATTCGGGATACTGACGTTTGGTAAAACATTGGTTTTGGCATCGCACACCAGCAGGGCACACAGCTGGATGACATTCATACATTAACATTCTGTTCAGGCACTCCGAATCCAAGCCACAAGGATGATCATCGGTAGGCTTACAGTTGCACCTCGAGATTTCCGAAATATCAGCTGTATAAATCTGTGCTTTGCCATAAGGTTTATTGACCTTTTCAAAAACATAGAACTTGATTAAAAACTCCAAACCTAAACAAAACTGGGCAATTAATATGCCATAATTCATACTTTATTCTTCAGGCAGGCAGTATATATGATTTCTAGTCTTTTGGAGGCCACAGTCTGGAGAAAGTTTTTTTGTCTAAGAATGGTTATTTAAAAATGATAGAATAAGCTAAATGACGGATCAGCATGTCTACTTTGGTTTTGTCTAAAGCAATCGGCTTGAAAAGCTGCAATTTCTCACAAAGCCAGTAAAAGTTGGACCTATAATCGATAAAGTTCAAAATGCGTTTCATATATTCATATTGTGGATAAATAGAGTTACAAATGGAAGTTGTACTGAAAGTATCAAGATTAAAACTTCACAAATTGAACTGCTTCTTATTCAACACTTCCTGATGATTTGATGGAACATACAGGCAGTGCCTGGCTTGCGAACAGGTTCTGTTCTTGGGTTCATTTACAAGTCAATCTGTACACAAGTTGGAACACAATGCAGGACAATATAAAGTAGCTATTCATAAGTACACAAAATGATTGTATGTTGGATCATTTAAATTACATGTTGAATGGGTGTATGTTCCTAAGAATGAGCATTTTTAAGTTCAACACTTGTAAATTAGGGACTCCCTATACATATAGATTGAAGCAGTAGGGAAGAAGGAAATAACATAACACAGAAACATAGAAAATAGGAAAAGGAGTAAGCCATTCAGCCCTGCTCTGTCATTCAATGCCATCATGGCTGATCATCCAACTTAGTACGGTTTTTAGTTTCTCCCTTCGATCCTGTTAGCCCTAAGAACTAGATCTCACTAGAATAAATAGCCTGTGGCTAGAAAGAGAGAATCATTCAATCAGTGTCAACTTGTATCCTACAGAAAAGATTCTGTAGGAACAAGGTTGTGTTTTCAGGGCAATTTTTAGTCACTACAATATACCCTTTAAACAATTAGACCATACAACTTTATGTGAACATTCTATATTTTATCCTGATTTTATTATTAAATTTATTTTCTCCATTTTAGAAAAATCATCAACTCAAATATCTCAATAAAATTAATTTGACAGGTGGCCAAAAATGTAATAAATATTGTGTAAAGGTTTTGAGGTCAATATTTCATCTGTGTTAAGTCAATTTCAGGAGGACCAGCAGATTACTAAGAACAAAGAACGGTACAGCACAGAAACAGTCCCCTTGGCTCTACAAGACTGTGCTGACATGATGCCTTTCTAATCTAAAAACCTTTTGCCTCTACGCGGTCCACATGCCTCTATTCCCTGCCTAGTCATGTATCTGTCAAGATGCCTCTTAAATGCGTTGCTATTATTCCCCCCTCCACTACCTCCTCTGGCAACACATTCTAGGTGCTTACAACGCTCTATGTATAAAACTTGCCCCTCACATCCCTTTAAACTAATCCCCTTTCACCGTAAACTTATGTCCCTTAGTAATTGACATTACTAACCTTGGAAAAGGATGCCGACTGTCCGTGCCTCTCATAAATTTGAAAACATCAATTAAGTCATCCCTTGTCCTTCGACGTTCAAGTGAAAACAAACAAAGTTTCTCCAATCTCTCCTCATAGCTATTATCCTCCAAACCAGGCAACATCCTGGTAAATCGCTTCGTAGCCTCTCCAATGCCTCTACATCCTTCCGATAGTGTAATGACCAGAACTGTACACAATATTCCAAACGTAGCCTAACTAAAGTTCTAAATAGCTGCAACATGACTTGTCAATTTTTTTATGCTCTATGCCCTGACTAAACATGCTGAATGTCTTCTTGACTACCTTCCCCACTTGATTTACAATTCCAGGGAATTCTGGTCCTATATGCCTAGATCCCTCTGTATATTTATGCTATTAAGGATACCGCTATTTACTGTACGCTTCCCAAAATGCATCTTTTCACATTTCTCCCAATTAAACTCTATCTTGCTATCCTCCATCCAAGTCTACAGCCTACCTATACTCTGCTGTATCCTCTGGCAATCCTCTTCCCTATCCGCAGCTCCCCCAATCTTTGTGTCGTCTGCAAACTTATTAATCAGGCCAGCTACATTCTTCTCCAAATCATTTACCCAATGTTATAAACAGAGGTCCCAGCACTGATCCCTATGGAACACCACTGGTCATGACTAACAAATTCTGGCCCTATCACCATCAAAAGCTCTAACTCTACAGTTTAAAACTGGTCAATACTTATAAAATTGCACCCCATTTCTGAAGAAGTATTTTCAGTGCTTCATGAGCAATCTTGGCATGATAAAATTGATCAGAAAGAAGGCCCATTGCCTCCTTGGTGCCTACAACCTCCAGCACAACTAAGTTTCAAATTTTTAAAATGCTGTTAAAATGACCATAATTAGTACTTATTAAAACGTTTCTCTCTCGCTTTTTCCAAATATATACAGTTAGTCCACATATCTCCAATGTTGCTGGCTCCCAAAACAGCGTACACCCACACAGACGTCAAAACAGTGGACCTTTCACTTCCTGAATCTTTCCTTCTCTACAATTCTCTAATACTTTCTGATTTATCTCCTCTCATTTTGCGAAATATTGGCGTGTTTGGCATAATGGCTTTTGCTGTTTTAAGTGGCCGAAATATGTTTGTGTTGGTAAATGCACATACATGGAATTATACTTTAGTACAAACATTCTTGTAGAAGGCAGAGAGTGAGAATACTGAAACAGGTTCTAGTTCACACCTACCTTTATGTGTTTATATGGTGGAGGCTTTCTACCATTACGCTCATTCTCCTGAGCTTCTCTCGTCTCCCGCTGAGCCTTGAGATCCTGAAAGCGTTCTGCCGCCTCATCTAAAGCTGAAGTGATTACGATAAACATAGACCATATATCAGAAGATGCAGTTGCAAAATGAAAATCTGTTTTGGTCAAATAATAGATTTACATTAAAACTGCAAATTGACAATTGTTAGATTGGGTATTCCTTTGCATTTTTAATTTTGTGTTGTGAAAAATAGATTACTCTTTCAAACTGGAACGAATCCCTGGGCTCACCAGAGGGATTTAACATTAAATAAGCAGTGTATGAAGTCTTTTTCATAGTTGCTTGTGAAGAAAGCTGTTGTGAAAACCACTTGTGGTATTGCACTGGCTTTTAGAACCCAGAGCATTTCTACAGGTGGGTGTACAGAACTTTTGCCTGTGTTTTCATAATAGCTTTTAGTTAAGACAGATACATTAGTGCTGATGATCAAACAATCCCACTGCGAATTAGCACAAAAAAGGTGGTTCATTGACATATGATGTGAAGATTGTGGAAGAATTCAGAGTTTCTTTGAAGCAAGAAGTTACAACCCCACCCTTTACATTAACCCTGGAATGACCCTATTGTCTAACCCGAGTGCTTCAAGCACCTTCTATTTTTAATCCAGTCCCTAGCAATCTCTATCACTGTGTCAGTTTCTATAACCCTCTTTTACACAAATGGTCTAACAAAATACAGGCATTTCAATAATCAAAGACATTTGTTTATGTGACCACCGCAACAATCCAGACAAAGAAAGAACAATCACAACTGAGCAAATTCTTCCACTTAAGATTTACCAATTTAAGTCACCCAGGTTATTTATGTAATGAAAGGAACGCTGGTTTAACACAGTGGCTGCCCATTCCAACAAAGTTCAATATCTTTACAAGTAGTAAAGATACCACGTAGTTGTATTGGACATGCCCAGAGACAACTCCAAGCACCTAGAGACATTCCACACACAGCATGTGGTTTGAAGAGGCTTTGTCACATCTCAGTGGGCTACAGCACTGGAAATCAAGTCCTGATATTCCATGAATTGTCTCAAAAGTTAATCAAGGCAGCCAAAAGCTGCCCAATTTAACTGTTTATATTCAGGTGAACAGAAAGCGTGGACCTACTTGGAAATGTAACAGGATTAATAATTAAGGAAGTAATACCAGCACATTTGAAAAATCATAAACTAATCAAGCAGAGTCAACACGGTTTCACAAAAGGGAAATTGAGCCTGTTTGACTTAGACTTTTTAGAGGAAATGTCCAACAGAGTGAATAGAGGGGAACCAGTAGATGTGTTGTATTTGGACTACCAGAAGGCATTGAATAAGGTACCTCAAAAGGTTAAGTCGAAGGTAAGAGTCCACTGTGTTGGACATAGTACATTGGCATGGATTAGTTAACAGGCAGAAAACAGGAGTGGGGATAAGGAATTCTTTTTCAGGATGGAAACCCAAGATCAGTGGGGTTCCACAGGGATCAGTGCTGGACCACAACCGTTTACAATATACATTAATGACTTGGAGGAAAGAAATGAATATGTCAAACTTACAGATGACACAGAAATAAGTAGACAGGCAGGTTGTGAGAGGGATACAAACAGTTTTACACAGACATATTTTGATAGGTTATATAGTTGGGGAAATGGTTGACAAATGGTGTATAATGTAGGAAAATGTGAACTTGTTCATTTTGGAAGGGAGACTAGAAGAAATTTCAACTCATCTTTATGCCTTATCCTAAGATATTATTCCCTGAGTTTAGACACAGTCAGGGGAAACATCTTACTAACATCAAACAAGAATCTTCTAAGCTTCATTAAAGTCACCTTTCATTCTTCAAAACTCTGGAGAATACAGAACCAATCTGCTCAACTTCTCCTTGTTAAACAAACCAGCCCTCTAGGGATCAATCTGGTCAATCTCTGTTGCATGCCTTCTATGGCAAGAATATCCCTCACCAAAACGGTTCACAGTATTTCAGCTGAAGTCTCACCATGGCTCTGTATCTGCAGCAAGGCATCTTTACCTTTGTACTCAATGAAGGCTAACATACACCATTTGCCTTCGTAACTGCTGGCTGTACCAGGACGCTGTCTTTTAGTGTCCCCATGAAAAAGGACACCCAGGACCCACCCTTTGGACACCTGAACTTCCCAACTTCTAACTGTTGAAGAATTTTCAGCCTGCTCTCTTTTGTACCAATTCACCATTTCATCTTCATAGTCTAGTTGGTTCATCGTAAGACTGTAAGATACAGGAGCAGAATTAGGCTTTTCATAGAATCCCTACAGTGTGGAAACAGGCCCTTCGGCCCAACAAGTCCACACTGAACCTTAGAGCATTCCACCCAGACCCATCCCACTATAAACACCATATACCTAATCGACACATCCCTGAATGCTACAGGCAATTTAGCATGGCCAATCCACCGAGCCTGCACATCTTTGGACTGTGGGAGGAAACCCATGCAGACACGGGGAGAATATGCAAAATCACACAGACAGTTGCCTGAGGCTGGAATCGAACCTGGGTCCCTGGCACTGTGATGCAGCAGCTAACCACTGTGCCACCGTGCCGCTTTTTAGCCCACTGAGTTTGCTCCACCATTCAATCATAGCTGATATGTTTCACAACCCCTTCTCCTGCCTTCTCCCTCTAACCCTTGATCCCCTTACTAATCAAGAACCTATCTCTGACTTAAATACACTCAATAACATGGCCTCCACAGCTTTCTGTGGCAATGTGTTCCACAGATTCACCACCCTCTAGCTGAAGAAATTCCTCCTCATCTCAGTTCTAAAGGGTTGTCTCTTTGCTCTAAGGCTGTGAGGTTAGGTATGACTTTCTTCTACCAGTGAAACTATCTTCTCCATGTCCACTCTATTGAAGCAAGGGGGAGACAATATTCTATTAGTATTATCACTGGACTGTTAAACCAGAGACACAGATAATTTTCTGGGGACCTGGGTTTGAATCCCACCACGGCAAATGGTGGAATTTGAATTCAATAAATATCTGGAATTACGGTGGCTCAGTGGTTAGCACTGTTGCCTCACACACCAAGGACCCAGGTTCGATTCCAGCCTCGGGCGACTATCTATGTGGAGTTTGCACGTTCTCCCTGTGTCTGCGTGGGTTTCCTCCCGCAGTCCAAAGATGTGTAGGCTAGGTGGATTGGCCATGCTAAATTGCCCATAGCGTTTAGGGGTGTGTAGATTAGGTGGTTTATAGGGGGATGAGTCTGGGCGGGATACTCCGAGGGTCAGTGTGGGCTTGTTGGGCTAAAGGGCTTGTTTCCACACTGTAGGGATTCTATTAAAAAATTCTGTAAGAGTCTAACGATGACCATGAATCCAGTGTTGATTGTCAGGAAAAACCCATCTGGTTCACTAATGTCCTTTAGGGAAAGAAACTACCATCCTTACCTGGTCTGGCCGACATGTGACTCCAGACCCACAGCAATGTGGTTGATCCTTAACTGCCCTCTATGCAGTTAGGGATGGACAATAAATGCTGCCTAGCCAGCGATGCCCTCATCCCGTGAATGAATAAAAAAACCTTCAAGATTTCTTGCATTTTTCTTGGAAATTGCATGGGAATGTCAGTTCATCAACAAATTAGGAAATACGACATGCCCATATACAGTCCCCAAATTCAAATCATTTATACAGATTCTTGCAGCATACAACAGAAAGGAAGCAAAGGCCTTGTTCCTTTTTCACTGGACTAGAAATCCAGAGGCGCAGGTAATATTCTGAGGACCTGAGTTCAGATCCCATCATACCAGTGGAATTTGAAATCCATAAAAATCTGGAAATTAAAGTTTAATAATGACCATGAAACCATTGTCAATTGTTCAAAAGACCCATCTGGTTCACTTATGTCCTTGAGGGAAGGAAACTGCCATCCTTAGCTCGTCTACCAAAAGTAGCCATTTGATCCAAATGCCCTACCCAAAGCAAGGTGGTTGACTCTCAACTGCCCACTGAAATAGAACATAGAACATTACAGCGCAGTACAGGCCCTTCGGCCCTCGACGTTGCGCCGACCTGTGAAGCCAAGCTGAAGCCTATCTAACCTACGCTATTCCATTATCATCCATATGTTTATCCAATGACCATTTAAATGCCCTTAAAGTTGGCGAGTCTACTACTTTTGCAGGCAGGGCATTCCACGCCCTTACTACTCTCTGAGTAAAGAACTTACCTCTGACATCTGTCCTATATCTATCACCCTTCAATTTGCAAGCCATTCAATTGTACCAATTGCTAGAAAGGGGAAAAAGGAAATAAAACTAGATGGACCACCTGGCATCAACACAGATATTGGAAATGATCCTAACTTTTCCTTGTTCTCAATTCTGCCTCTTCCTTAAAAACAGTCTGCAGAATTCACACAAAAGAGGTGACCTATCTAAAATCTTTTGAATTCTGAATTTTGAAAGATAACCATCAATGCATCAACGAACTCTCAAGCTATCTTTTCAACATTCTGGGATGAAACTCATCTGGTCCAGGGGATTTATTAACCTTCAATCCAGTTAACATTTCAGGTACAACCTCTTTACTAATGCTGATTTATTTGAGTTCTTCAGTTTCACAAGCCCCTTGGTTGCCTAGTATGTTGCAGTGCTTTTTTCTGTATCTTCTTGTGTGAAGATAGTTGACAAGTAACTGATTAGTTTCTCTGCCATTTCCCCATCTCCACTAGCGTCCTCACCTGATAACAGGCTCATATTTGTCCCAGAGACAACAAGGTGTACAGCTGGATGAACACAGCAGGCCAAGCAGCATCATAGGAGCAGGAAGGCTGACGGTTCGGGCCTAGACCCTTCATCAGAAATTGCTTGGCCTGCTGTGTTCATCCAGCTCTATACCTTGTTGTCTCAGATTCTCCAGCATCTGCAGTTCCTACTAACTCTGATACATATTTGTCCCAGTTGGCTTTGGCACATACCTAAAGAAGCTTTTATAGTCCACTTTTATGTTTCTTGCTTGTTTGCATTTTTTATTTCTCCAAATTATTTTACTGGTTTCTAAATTACTCCTAATCCTCAGGTGGAACATTTTCTGTAATTCTTAAAGCCTCTTCCTTTGATCTAATGCAATATCTAACTTGTTTTTTGTTAACCATGGTTGATTTACTTTTCCCTTTGGGTTTTTGAGCCTTAGAAGAAAATATATATTTGTTGTAAATTTCTTTCATTATTAGTCACTGCCTGCCACCAGCAAATCTTTGTGTATTTTCTCAATCCATCAGAGTCAACTTGCCCCTCATACCTTCATAATTTCCTTTCTTCAGATTTAAAACCTTAGTTTCATCATGAACAACACTGCAATCAAACTTATTGTGATATTCTATCATATCATGGTTACTATTTTCCAGAGGCTCTTTTACAGCAAGATTATCAATCAGCCCTTTCTCATGGCATAACATTAAAATCAAAAACCACCAAAATTCCTAGCTGGTTGCTGAACATACTGCTCCAGAAATCCATCTCATACATACTCCAGGAATTCAAATGCCACAATACAAATATTTCACTTTTACGGTAGTACCTTTTCTAAAAGCTTTGCTGAGGCTTTTGATTTTATTGTCTTTGCTTCCCCTATCACCTTCCATATAAGGAAATACGCGTGCCTGATGGGTCCAAAAGTAGTCATTTGATCCAAAGAAGTGAACTGGAAACTCGCCAATCTCATGCTTCATATTTTGAATATTTGTCGGAATGTTTCTTGGGTGACAAATCTCTGCAGGCCACCACCTGTGTTCGAACGAAAATAAAACCAGATTATTGCAACAAGTAATTTCAGTGTCATGAAATATGAAAGAACATGAAAATGGATCCCAAACTATACTGTAAATATTCAATCCAATTCTCTGAAAATGATTAGTCACTGTGAATTATACTCCAAGGAACGTAAACCAGAACTCAACTGACAGGCTAACTTCAGTGAGTAGGGTTAATCAAATAGAGCAGGGTAGCCCTGGAAAAGGAGAAAATTAACTTCATCTTTGTATTTCGTATACATCAAAAGGGAAAAGAAAGCGATTAAGCAGGGTAAGATACCAAAAAAAAAGAAACCCAACTACATGAAGAAAACAAAACAAAGATGTACATTAACACAAGAGCAAGAAAACAAACTGGGAAAGGGCCACTGACTAAAACAGAAAATTATGATAAAGTAGTAACTACAATTAAATATAAAACAAACTGCTGGAAATATTCAGTAGATTGAGCCAGCCTGTGGAATGACAAGTAGTTAACATTTTAGGGCAATAACCTCCGGTCAGAACTGACAAATTTTGCTCTTGTCTGGCAATTAAATATACCTGGGTGAAAACTGACAACAGTAATAACAAAGGAATCACTGAGCCTTAGATTATCCAAGAATAACTTGGGAGAGGCATCACTTTTTTCTTCATTTGAGTGAATGAAGGAAGGGCACATGAGTGGGAAAGAAACCATCTTAGGCATCATTGTGAAAGAGTGAAGGAGAATACTTAAGCATTGAAACAAAATACTATGTTTTTGTATCGAGAATATTCTGCTAAGTGTATTAAGTAAACACTCAGTAGTTACAAAGCAGAACATAAATGAAAGCTCAAATATTACAAGGACAGAGCAAAGCTGCAAAATAAATTAGAAAGTCTAAAAAGATGAGACAAAACCAGAAATAGGCTGCGACGAGCTGGAGGAAAACCGACAAGAATGTGAGAAAAAAAACTATTTAAGTTCTTTTACCTCAGTTTTCACATTGGAGTTGGTTACTGTCATAAAACCACCGAAGAAAAGTTAATGGAGATGACCAAAGAACAATAGCATCAAAAACACACAAATCACAAGCACCAGATGATTTATTTTTGAGTCATTCAAGGGAAGCTACAAAACAACCAATGCTCCAATTACCAATTCTTTAATTAGCAGAAAATAAGATTTCTGAAGAAGCATCTGATTAGATTAATTGACAAAAAGCTGCAAATGCTATTTTCAGAAATGATTTGCTGGGATATTTCAAAGCCTGGACACAAAGCTACGATTTCAATTAATTACTTGGATGTTGGGACCGAACATATTAGAAGTTTGTTAATGACACTAAGATTGGTAGGAATTGTGAAAGTGGCGTAAATTGTCTTCAAAGGGATATGGTCAGATTCAGTGGGTGGGTAAAAATTCAGGGGAGTATAATTTGGGAAAATGTGAACTTTTCTGCTTTGGCAGGAAGAATTTAAAAACAACATACTATTGAATTAGGGAGAGATTGTAGAACTCTGTGGTATAGAGAAATCTGGGTGTCCAGGGTGATGAATCACAATTGAGTTTATGGCAAGGCAAATGGCACATAAATGCAGGAATGTTTTGCTAGAGTTACAGGGGTAATGATGGGACCACATCTGGAATGCTAGCATAGTTTTGGAAGGAAATATACAATTATATTTGCAGCTGAGAGAAAGTTCACTCATTTGATTCCTGGCAAGAGGGGGATCTCTTATGAAGAAAGGTCAAGTCAGTTAGGTCTACTGTAATTAGAGTTTAGGAGAATGAGAGATGACCTTCCTGAAACATTGAAGTACAAAGTGAACCTGTCAAGGTGAATGCTGAAAGGGTGTTTCCCTTGAGAGAAGGATCTAGAACTAGGCAACACAATTTAAAACAAAGAATAGGAGAACTGTTTTTACTCAGATAGTCCCCAGAGAATTGTGGAGGCAGGGTCACTGAATATTTTCAAAAGGCGGACTGAGATATTCTTGATTAATAAGGAAGTCAGAGAGTCTCAAGGAAATGTAGCAAAGTGGAATTTAAGCCACAAATCAGATTCACCATGATCCAATTGAATGACAGAATAGGCTCAAAGATCAAAATGGTCAATTTTAGCTTCTTTCTCACACGTTCATATGGTTAGCAAGGTTAGGCCAGGGGTCAGTTGAGACAATAGGAGGTTCCGTACACAGTGTAAAGTACTTTAGGAAGGGAGATGAAAAGAATGGGCAGATAGCAGAAGTAGTGATTGATAAAGCATACAGTTTTCTAGACATTATTACAGGGGAAAGAGTACAAAAGCAAGGAAATTACATTAAATCTGAATAGAACACTAGAGTGGTTTCATGTTCAGATGATACACTTCAAAAAAAATATGGGAAGGCATTAGCTCAGAATACAAGAAAGATTTGCAAAAATGGATCCAACAGGGAGAAATGTCAGTTGCATAGAAAAAGTGAAGAGACTGCACCGTTTAATTTGTAGAAGAGCAAGTTGTGATGAGATGACAGGAGGTGTACAAAATCATGAGGGCTGGACAAAGTAGACAGGAGGTAAAATGCTTCCTATTGGTGGAAGGTGGTGGGGAAGCTTCAAGAAACAATTATTTGTGATGGAATTAGTAGTCACATAGCTAAAGGCAGGCAAGTTAGGAAGAAGTGTGGATTTCTAAAAGGAAGGATTATGCTTCATAATTTGCCAGTTTTTAGAAGAGGTAACTGAAAGGCTCGCTGAGGGCAACTGAGTTGATGTACATGTGCATTACAGAAGGTGTTTGATATAGTGCCACATAACAGAATTGTGAGGAAAGTTATACGTATAAAAGACAGTAGCAAAAGTATGAGTGATAGGAAAAAAAGAAATGATCAATAGAGTGTTACAGTGGAGTTCCCCAGGATTGGTATTGGAACACTTGCTTTTCCTGATATATTAATGATCTGGACCTTGGTGAGCAGGGAAATTTCAAAGTGTTGCTCATGAGATGAAATTTGGAAGAATCGTAAACAGCGAAGAATGATGTGGAACTCCAAAAGGGCATGGACATGCTAGCACAGTGGGAGGATAGGTGGCAGATGAAGTTTATGTAGAAAAGTGTGAGGTGATGCACAATGACAGGAAGACCACTGAAAAACAAAATAAAATTAGAGAGGGACAATTATCAAGATGATGCAGGAGCAGAGGGATGAGGATTCATAGGTGCATAGATCACTGAATTGGCAGGACAAGTGGAAAGAGCAGTTAATAAAGCATACAGTGTCCTCAGGTTTCTTAATGGGGCACGGAGTACAAGAGCAAGGAGGTCACGTTGAAATTGTACAAGACTCATTAGACCTTAACTGGAGTGTTTTGTGCACTTATGGGTGCCACATTGTAGAAGCTAGTCATGAAGGTTAGGTCGCATGAGATCCAGGGAGAGCGAGCTAATTGGATTATAAAATCATGAAGGGCAGAGATAGGATGAATACATATAGCCTTTGTCCCAGGGATAGGGAATTGAAAACTAGAGGGCATAGGTTTGGGCGAGAGGGGAAAGATTTAGGGACCTGTGGGGCAACTTCTTCACGTAGAGTGGTGCGTATATGGAATGGGCTGCCAGAGAAATTAGTTGAGGCAGGTACAATAGCAACATTTAAAAAGCATTTGGATAGGTGAATGGATGGGAGGGGTTTAGAGGGATTTTGACCAAATGTGGGCACCATGGTTAGTATGGACCAGTTTGGGCTGAAAGGACTGTTTCCATGCTATGTTACTTTATGACTCTAAAAGATGTTAGCACAGAAAGAGACAGTGCAGAAATGATTTACAAGAACGGATCCAGGCATGAGAAACTTCAGTTATGAGGACAGATTGAAGAAGTTGGGACTGTTCTCCTTGGAGAGAAGGCGGTTGAGAGGAGATGTGATAGAAGTTTTCAAAATCATAAGCGGGTTGGATAGAGTAGGTAGTGAGAAGCTGTACCTGCTCATAAAGAGAATAAGAACAAGAAGGCATATATTTAAAGTGATGTGCAAATGAAGCAAGGATGATGAGTGAAAAAAGCTTCTTTCACACAGTGAGTAATTTAGAATGCACTGCCCTGAAATGTGGCAGACACAGATTCAGCTGAGACATTAAAGAGAGCATTGGATGATTAGCTGGCCAGAAACATTGCATAAGGATAAGTGGAAAAAAGCAGGAGATTGACACCAGGGTAATGATGCCGTTTGAAGAACCAGTAGAGGCACGATGGGAGAACAGCCTTCTGTGCCGTACAAATTCTGCGATTATGTGAAGTCAGAGTGGTGAGAGAATTGAAGAACTTTTTGTAGGTGGTCGTGTTCCCATGCACCTGTTGCCCTTGTCCATCCAGATTGTAGTTGTAGTTTGGATGGTGCAATCAGAGGAACCTTGTGAGTTACTGTAGTTCATCTTATATATGGTACACATTACTGCCATTGTGTACTGGTGCAAAGAAAATTCATGTTAAAGGTGGCAGATGACATGCCAATCAAGTAGGCTACATTGTCCTGAACGGTCAAGCTTCTTCACTGTTGAAGGAGTTTCACTCATCCAGACAGATAGAGAATATTCCATTATACTCCTGAATTTTGCCTTGTAGATAGTGGGTAGGCATTTGGGGAAAAAAAGGGGACTTTCTCAACACAGAATTTGATGTACATTTGTTGGGAGGATGGTTAAATACTGTAAATGAGGTCCAGGTAGATAAAACCATGAAAAGCAAAATCTTTTATCGTTTTATAAACAGGCAAAGAGTGCAAGTGAAAAGAGATTTTCTATGTTTATACAATGAGATTATTAGGTTGGAATACCATACTGTTTTGGGCATCCAGTTATTGCAAGGACATTAAACACGGAAAGCAAAGCAAGATAATGCCAGGGCAAATCTTTAGATACGGAGTCTAATTCTAGGAGATAGTAAAGGAGAGATTTAATTGACTTTAAAAAAAAAACAAGGACTTTGACAAGTAAACAGGGAAAGATGATTTCTATTCACGCTGATTTGGAAGCTGTTCATAAGAAATCCATTTAAAATTTCATATGGTTTTACTAAGATTTTCTCTCTTGGCCCTTTAATTTTTCTTTGTCATTCACAGGATGTGGGTGTCACTCATTTGGTCAGCATTTATTCCCCTATTCCTGGTTGTCCTTGAGAAAGTGGTGGTGAACTGCATTCTTCAACCGCCACAATCCGTGGGATGTAGCTACACTCTCAAAGCTGTTAGGAACATTAGACACAGGAGCACGAGCAGTCCATTTAACCTATCAATCAGGTTTACTCTGACATTCAATACAATCACGATTGATCAAACACTGCAATGCTGTTTAACCGCATAATTCCCATAATCCTTTATACCAATAGTAACCATCACACACAAGAGAATTCCAATGATTCACAATCTGCTGAGCAAAAAGAATTCTCATCTACGTCTTAAATGGCATCCGTGTTATCTTGTGCCACCTTACTCTAGACTGGTCATTCCCAATCATAGAAACACCTTACCTGCAGTAACCCTGTCAATCCCTTTGAATATTTTGTAGGTTTTAATTAAAAGATGTTTCTTTCTTTGAAACTCTAGAGAATACTAGCCCACTTTGCTCACCCTCTCTTTACAGGAGTCCTGCCATCCTGGGAAGAAGACTGTTAAATCTTTGCTTCACTTCCTCTACAAGGAAGCAGTGCCAGGAATTTAACCCCGAGATACTGGAGAAATGTAGATATAGTTCCAACTTAGCATGGTGTATGGCTTCGAAGGAACTTACATGATCTGGTACACTTATCCTGATGAATGTTAGAGGTCACGATTTGGAAAATGCGTCAAAACAGCCTTGGTGAGATGCTTTTGTGCATCTTGTAGATAGTATATTGACACCATTGCAATGAAGCAGGATGACTAATTAGTATTTACTTGGTTAAACATATAAACAAATGCGATGAAACAGGATAATACTCTGAGAAATGCTGCCTGCTACTGCTGTACTAGCAATACAGTCAAAAATACAAATTGCTATTTTACACTGGTGTGTTTTATCAAAAATTGTTATTCTCCGGCTTGCATTAGTAGCTGCCTCAATGGGTAGCAAGTTGCCACTCCAATATCCTAACATCACTGTGGTTTGGACGACCACAAAGCAAACGGTTTGAATGTCTTCCATTTCAAGTAAGTAGTTTCATTTCCAGGTTTAGGGATGGGGCGAGGTGAAGACCCAATGAAAGAAAACATTTCTCTGCAATTCTTGCTGCTCAACAGTGTGTCAGAAATTCTGGACCCAGATAACTCAAACAATTCACTAGAATAGTTTCTCCCACAATACATATAGATGAAGCAGCACCCAATTTACCTTATACTACAAAACAATTTTGTATTTCAAATTTGTTTCCAGCTTGGAAGTTCAATTAATTGTTCCATGCAATGCACTAATGTTAAAAATAAGATGAAAAACATACTTCTCAAAACATGCAAATTGTAAAACCATTTCTTTACTTGCACTGACCTGTAGCTACCCAGTTTAACCCAGATAATGTCTTTGTAGCGTGGCTTCTTGCCTGCTTTGCAATCATTGCAATACCAACTCCCCTCTGGCATATCAATGTTTAGGCATTCTGGATGAAATGCTGCAGGACAGGACTCACAGCACAAAAGGCTCCCCCCTATAAGAAATGAGCTAAAGTTAACATGGAAACAATTGTTATAGAAATTCACACTATGCTTAAAATAAATAAAAGTGCAATTATATAGCATCTCATTGAAAATTTTAGACACTTGAAGCAGTTCAGTGAATGCTGGAGTCTGACTATAATGGGCATCATTAGTTGAAGACTGATTTGAAATTACTGATAAAGATTAACTGTCGAAGGGATCACAAGGAAACTGGTACTTCTCTAGAAAGAGAAAGAAAATATTTAACTGAAACTTCCTCTTCAGTTTTGATTACTTTATGTTTGGAGAATGTCAGGCAGACAACTGAAGAGTCTCAAAAAATCAGACTTCATCTTTATTTGCAACTACTAATACATAAACTTCTCCTGCAGCACTGAATATAGCTGATGACACTGAGTCAGGTAATACTTGCATAGAAATAAGCCAAGATTCCAGCACAGCCTATAGGCAATTCATGTGCAACTTAGCATATTCATAACTGGAAGAGATCAACTTTAGCTGAACTGAACAAGGCATGCACAATTGAGTAGATATCTTTTCAATAGTATGCCAGTTAATGTGTTAATGAAAATTTTTGATGGTTTGTACATTGCTAAATAAGGTGTGCAACTCCAGGAAATAGATTATCAGGAAATGACACAAAAACAATAACACTGTGTAAATTAGTTACTGAAGCTTGGTAAGAACATGAAGCTAATGACATCAAAGAAACCGAAAAGAAGTTAACATTGGCGAGTATGCAGAACTAACTGTAAATAAAAGCAAGCTAAGAAGATTTTCAGAAAATTGTCATTAAAAGCAAGAAAAAGATGAAAGAATATAAATCATTTAAAAGGCATTGTGAAAAGTGCATTAAATAGGAAAGCTTATAATATCTGACCCCTGTGAAATAACAAAGTGTTGGGGTGTGGGGGACAGCACAGACAGAGGGGGACGGACAGACAAAGAGGGGGAGCAGGGGAGGGGACAGACGGGAGGAGGGGAGAGAGAGGGAGGGACAGAGAGAGAGAGAGAGAGAGAGAGAGAAAGAAAGGAAGAGAATTGTTCAGTAGCTAAAATAATCAATTTTTCAATGAAGAAAGTAAAGTAAATGAATCTCAAACTAACCTCGTGAACACACAAAGCACCAGCTAACATTGACATGAGCATGATGACTGTAACCCTTTTTTGGAACAAAATGGTTGCTGCAAATAATACTGTTGGCTGTCAGTATCACAGACCCTGCTGCAATACAGGTCTCCCCTCCATGATAAGCCACAGGACAGCGGACACATCGCATCATTCGCCCTGCTAACAGAGAGGGTTTAGTGTCACCCTTTGAATAAAACTTGACAGTTTCTTAAAGCTCCCTCTCCAAATTTTCAGTAAATTCACACACATTTTAAAACAGATTCTGATCAAAAGATGTGAACTGAAAGTACAATGGCATTAACCCAATGAAAATCCTTTACTCCCATGAACGGTATGTTTGAATGTTACCGATAAATCCTGTATTCCCTAGAATTTTAAGCAATATAATTGAATATTTCTGCCTTCAAATATTTCAAGAGATAAACGGAAACATAATTCATACTTAAAGTTGGCTGAAAAGCTTTATACTGAAAACATTTTGGATAAATGCACAAGTTTAGAAAGTTAGCTTTTTTTCATAGTCTCGGATGGAAGATATTTGAAAGAAAAAACAATCACTAGATTGTTCACCAGGTGGGTTTTGCAATTGATTCTTCAGTTAGATGTTCATTTATTACAGACTCATGAAGAATCTTTAGGGTCATGAAACTGGTGAACGCTAAAGACCATAAAGACAGGAGAAGTCAGCTATTCAGTCCATCAAATCTGCTCCACCATTCAATTAGATCTTGGCTGATCTGATAACCCTGAATTCCATTTTCCTGCCTTTCCCCCAAAACCCTTAATTCCCGATTGATTAAAAAATCAACCTCAGCCTTGACTACATTTAACAACCCAGCTTGAACAGCCCCCTGTGATAAAAGAATTTCACAGATTCATTACCCTCCATGAGAAAAGAAATTCCTCAATTTCATCTTAAATGGGTGCCGCTTACCTCTGTGATCATCCCCCTGTCCTAGAGTCTCCACACAAGGGGAAACAACCACTCTGCAATTACCCTGTCAAGACCCATGAGAATAATGATAATTTTAATAAAGACTCCTTTCATTTTTCTGAACTCTGATGAATACAGGTCAATACTGCTTTTGGCGTCTGATTTATTGCATAGTGAAATGACACCAGAATTTCTTCAATTTAAAAAGGTATTTGACTGCATTTAAATGAAGGCCATTTTTCCCAAATAATTTTCCAAATGTTTCAAAGTTCTAGGGAATGCAGCTTTAAGTTGTGACAAATTTGCAGAATTGTACATCGACAGGCAATATGAGATAGTAAGAACTGCCGATCTGGAGTCAGAAATAACAGTGCGGAGACTGGAGGAACACAGCAGGACAGGCAGCATCAGAGGAGCAGGAAAGTTGACCCAACTCCTAACATCAACTTTCCTGCTCCTCCGATGCTGCCTAGATGCTGTGCTCCTCCAGGTCCACATTGTTATACAGACAATATGACTTGGCTTTCATGCCATATATTATTCCTACTTCCCTGAAGAAAAACTTGACAAGAAGTAAAGATAACGAAGATACACAATTTGTTTCTAATTTACCTTCTTTTCATACATTTGTCAAAACAATCTTTGTAAGGTTTTACAGTATTATAATTTAGTCATTATGCATCAAACCCCAAAAATGAGCTTGGTAACTCTTCAAATGATTTGGATGTGAACATAGGAGGTATGGTTAATAAGTCTGTAGATGACACCAAAATTGGAGGTGTAGGGGACAATGAAGAAGGTTACCTCAATGGGATCTTGATCAGATGGGCCAATGGGCCAAGGAGTGGCAGATGGAATTTAATTTAGGTAAATGTGATGTGCTGCATTTTGGAAAGGTAAATCAGGGCAGGACTTATACACTTAATGATAATGTCCTGGGGAGTGTTCCTGAACGAAGAGATCTTGGAGTGCAGGTTCATAGTTCCTTGAATGTGGAATCCCAGGTAGGCAGGAGAATGAAGGTGGCATTTGGTATGCTTGCCTTTACTGGTCAGTGCACTGTGTATATGAGTTGGGAGGTCATGTTGTGGCTGTACAGGACATTAGTTAGGCCACTTTTGGAATACTGCGTGCAATTCTGGTCTCCCTGCTATTGGAAGGATGTTGTGAAACTTGAAAAGGGTTCAGAGAAGATTTACAAGGATGTTGCCAAGTTGGAGGGTTTCAGCTATGGGGAGAGGCTGAATAGGCTGGGGCAATTTTCCCTGGAGCGTTTGCGGCCGAGGGGTGACCTTATTGAGATTTATAAAATCATGAGGGGCATGGACAAGGTAAATAGACAAGGTCTTTTCTCCGGGGTATGGGGGTCCAAAACTAGAAGACATGGGTTTAAAGGTCAAAGGGGAATGATTTAAAAGGAACCTAAAGGGCAACTTTTCCATGCAGAGCATGGTGCATATATGGAATGAGCTGTCAGAGGAAGTGGTGGAGGCTGGTACGATTACAACATTTAAAAGGCATCGGGATGGGTATATGAATAGGAAGGGTTTAAGAGGGATCTGGGCCAAGTGTTGGCAATTAGGACTAGATTTATTTAGGAATCTGGTCGACATGGACGAGTCGGACCAAAGGCTCTGTTTCCATGCTGTATATCTCTATGACTCTACAACCCAATTCAAACGCCTGTTTAAAATGACCTACTGGCTTTCACCCTTACAACCTGTTTGATGTAGCTCAGTGCATAACTCCACATGCAATTCACCACTAGGACTTCACATCAAAATCTGAAATACGCTATACATCAAACTTTGTGTAAACCGGCACGTTATGAAACAGCAATCACGATAAACCATCAAAAAATGATATAGCTCAAATACCAGAAAGTTTACTGTATTATTTCAATCTCTATGATGTCTGAGTATTCAGTTGAGGGTGTGAGTGAGAAGGCTCACTGCCAGTAAGTTTAATTTAAGGCAAAGTTGCATCATTATTTAAGCGATTTATATTATAAATATATGTTTCTATTATTTAGTGTATGTTTTTACATTGATTACATGGACCTCTTGATCAACTGGCACACTCCTGGTTTCATAGCTACTGGTTAATAAAAAGTTTTCTGCATTTAAAAAGTACAACCATCCATGTCCTGTTGAAAACCATGGTCTTTTGGGGATTCTGATAAGAAAATGGCCAATCGTGTGCGTGAAACTAATCTCCAATACTGAAATTTCCAGGAAGGAAAAGACATGGGCAGTCTGCAGAATGCGACAAAATAGGTGGCAACTACTGAAAGAAAAAGGCTGAGTCTTCTTTGCTTTTTAAGCTGGAGACTGTAAAATATCTACAAACGTCCCTCAGGCTAATTCCTAAATTCAAGTCCACTGGTAAAGAAATTGGACCTCCTGATATGAACTAGATGACTTGTAGAGCATTCATCTCTTTGAGGGAACTCTGTAATAATCCTGACATATGACAACAACCAGCTGAACTCATCAAGAGATATTTCCTATGAAAAAGACTTCCTTCTTCAGTAGGCTCAGAAAGACCGCCTTCCTACACCAAGGATACACTTAATTTTCTTTGACTTGTATTTTTTCCTCCTGTGAGCATGCACAAATGCTGAGTGATTTATGTCACATGGACTCTGGGTGAGTGTTTAAATAACGAATAGTTGTTTTCAGCTCAAACATACAGGATGAAAAATGACTGCCATGACATACCCAGATGGTTGCAACGTTTGAAATAAGTATCCTATTTTCAATCTCAGTCATCCTCATCACTTTATCTGTCAAGTACCCATTCAATTTCTTCCTGCATGTGCTGATCTTGCCTGCATCCCTGAGCAGTCAGATTCCAATACTCACTTGAAGTCTAGTGACACTCCACTCTGTGCACCACAGAAACACCAACTGATCTTGAATCCAGGCATTCCATCTGCACAAAATCTCTCCAATGTTTCACCTCATTTCTCTCTGTCCCTTAGCCAATCAATTTTTAAAATACTCGTCAGCATCATGACATTAACTAGGTAAGAAATAAAAATATTAGTCAGTGGGAGTTCCCTCACCTTCTAGTTTACTATTTGTGACAGAACATTCTGTCCCCAGATTCTGGCCCTAAACTCTTAACTTGCCACACCTCTTCATACATGAACAAGCCTCATTAAAATAACCTAATTAACTGTATATATATTTTTCATATATTTGTATATGTGAGAACATAGGAATGCATACATTTCTAAGAACATAACTTAGAGGATGAGAAGACCATTATATTATACTCAGATGGTTGCAAAGTTTCAGATAACATACAAACTTAATCCTCATCATTTCACCTGCCAGGTATCCACTGAATTTCTTCCTGTACACGCCAATCATGGCTGCATCCCTCAACAGTTTGTTCCACATAATCACCTTCTAGAGAAAGGCAATTTAAATATAACCCATCTGTTCACATTCTGAGATCAAGCCTGTATCATTTTGCTATGCTTGCAAATGCCACTATACTGCAGCTGAATGATCTATTTATAACCTTCAAGAATTTGATCACTCAGTAAGGTTAATTGAATATATTTAGTTTCTACAGCTTCTCCTCTATTGTAGATATTTAATCAAGGTAATGTCAGTTCTCTTTTGGTATATCCAGTCCAATGCCAAGTTGTCAACAATGGGATACTGCGTCCTAAATCAAAGGG